TGAAAAATACAAGAAAATTATATATATAAAAAAACAAAACACAAACAGCAACATTATAAAGTGATGTAAATAACTAAAAACAGCAACATGTCTGTTGGTTTATGCCATGAACTTAGCAGATGTTTGAAGCCATTTAACATTTTATTTTATTTAATTCATTTATTCATTCATTTAAAAGAAACAGAACAAATTCATCAAAAAGAAAACATTGAATGAAAAGTGTGTAGAAAGAAGAAAAATCTTATACTTGCCCCTTATTTAAAAAATATAAAATAACTTTAAACAATCACTAAAATCACTTTAATATCAACTTTAAAGAGAAACATGTTTTGTGTTAGCAGAATTTAATTCTAACTAAAACTTATCCAACATGAATAAAACTTACCTCAAGATGCCTTTTTGGACATGCATGCATATATTTGTAGAAATTGTACTTGAGAGGAGATTATTACAGCCTCTTATAAAATCAATGATGATGATATCGGAACTGGATCGTATCGGCCGATATTTAGATTTAGGTATCGGGATCGGATCAGAAGTGAAAAAAAATGTGGATCGGTGCATCCCTATTTGCTACCACTTTGTATATCACCATTGTTCTTATAAATGGGCACCAGTACACTTCTCCATTCTTCAGGCATTTTCTCACCCTCAAATATATCATTGAATATTTGAGTAAAAAAAACTCACTGCCATCTCTGCAAGACATTTCCAAACCTCCACTGGTATGTCATCGGGTCCTACTGTTTTCTCTTTCTTCATTATTTTCAGAGCTTTCCAGACTTCACCATCACTAATTTTTCCCACTTCCTGTCCATTTTCTATGACCTCTACTATTCTTTCTCTTTCGTTCTCTTCATTCATTAGCTCCTCAAAGTACTCATTCCATCTTCCCGTCACACTCTCCTCTCTTGTTAAATCATTACCATTCCTATCTTTAACAAGCCTAACCTGCTGTACATCCTTTCCAACCTGATCCTTCTGTCTCACCCTCTTTAGTGTCCAGCCTCCCATACAACTCATCATACACCTGCTTTGCCTTTGCCACCTCCCTCTTTGCTCTACATTGCATCTCCTTATATTCCTGTCTCCTCTCTTCAGTCCTTTCACTGTCATATTTCTTCTTGGCTAACCTCTTTATTTGAATAGCTTCTTGCCACCCAGAGCGTTTAACAGCTCCTCTCTGAATTTCTCACAATATTATTCCTCCTTCAGCTTCCATCATTTGGTCTTCTTCTCTAACTTTACTCTTTTTCTCTTCTTCACAACAACAGTCATTCTACACACAACCATCCAATGCTGTCTGGCCACACTCTCCCCTGCCACAACCTTACGTCCCTGATCTCCCTCAGGTTTCCTCTTCTACACAGAATGTAGTCTACCTGTGTACTCCTACCTTCACTTTTATATGTCACTCTGTGTTCCTCCTTCTTTTTGAAATAAGTGTTGAATACAACCATTTCCATTTTCTTGGCAGAATCCACCACCATCTCTCTTTCCTGGTTTCTTTCCTTGGCACCAAACCTACCCATCACTTCCTCATCCCTTCTGTTTCCTTCACCAACATGCCCATTCAAGTCTGCTCTTATCCCCACTCTTTCCTCTCTGGGAATACTCTTTATCACTTCATTCATATCCTTCCAAAATGTATCTTTCTCCTCTCCATCACATCCAACCTGTGGAGCATAACCACTGACATGTAGCATCAGACCTTCTGCTTCTATCTTCAGACACATCACCCTATCTGACACTCTTTTCACCTCTACTACTTTCAACTCCTCCTTCAGGACCACCCTTACTCCATTTCTCTTTCTATCCACAACATGGAAAAGCATTTAAACCTGTGGTGGGCAAACTTTCAGATTCACGGGCCACACTGAGTTCTAAAATTGGAGCGAAGGGCCGGGCCAGAAACAGATAGATGGAGTGTTTGTGTGATGTTACACCACAGCGCAATAACAGCCACCGGGACGCTATTAATTATGGGTGATTCCACCTTCTGCACCATTCAAGCAGCCACTAAGTCAGGATTATATGATAGAACAGTGATTTTATTTACAATAGTGAAATTATTGACTTTGTGGAGTCTTACCAACTTCAGGCCGAAACAACAAACAAAACAAACCACTGTATTTTCTCTTACCTGAAGAAAAATAAACTAATCAAACCACAAGTCTCTTACCTCACTATGGTAAATGGTCTGTACTTATATAGCGCCTTTCTATCTAATCAAGATACTCAAAGCGCTTTACACTACAATCTGTGCCTCATTTACCCATTCATACAGCACTCTACTAGATCTCTACAAAGCTAATTGAACAAATCATTCTAAAGAGACTAATCAGAGCTTTATCACATTCATTCACCGATGGGACACACATTGGAGGCGATGAGGGGTTCAGTGTCTTGCCCTTGGACACTTCGGCATGTGACTGCTGGTGGATTCGAACCCCCAACTCTTGCATTGAAGGACGACTGCTCTAACCACTCAGCCACAGCCGCCCCACTATGCTAATGGAATACAGAAGAAAAATCAAAATAAAGTGGCAGCTCACCTCCACAAACTCTTCACAAAACTTTTTACAACTACAGGATCTAAAGTTGATGACAGGTCAGCTGTGGCAGTTTGGGAATGGAAGCAGACATCATCTTCCTGCAGCTCCTCTATGCAGCATCACAACAGAGTATCTGGACAATAATTCACACATTTTTGCCTTTCACATTTTTTAGGGGGATAATTCACACACAATAGCAATTTCACACACGCACACACAAAGCATGACTTACAGTGATTCTTGATGCAGTGAAGAAAAATAACATCCTGGTCAAGGTTTTCCTCTTTCAGTTTATCCTGGATTCTTGTCAGCAGCCTGACGTGTTTTCCTCTTAAATTTGGTGATCTGTCCGTTGTGACATTGTCCACTTTACTCCACAGAAGCTTCATTCTCTCATGACAGCAGATGGTGATAAAAATCCTCTCTTTGTGTTTTTCCTTTCAGAGACTCCAGGGTCAAAAACACCTCCATTATCTTAAAACTGTTGTTAATCCCGCAGATAAAAATTAGGAGCTGATCTGTGTCCTTTATTACTTTCCTCCAGTAAACCATAACTTAAAGGACTCTTCCTTTTAGCTTATTTTGCTGGCTATATCTTCAAAAATCAGTTCCACAAGGCGAGTCACAGTCCTGCGTCATAAGCTGATTTTTTTTCTAACTTGTCTTGGCCCTCCAGACACAATAGACCTGCCCTGTTTTTACCAAGCTTTCTTTAAAAAAAAAATTGCCTTCGGAGAAAGGCTTGCTAGCATAGTTAGCATTTAGCAAAGTGTACTCTTTGAAAACCGCGACAATTTCTTGGCATAAAACTGCCTTTGATTGGACCTCAGTGAAACTATATGTTGTGGGCCATTCCATATTAAACACTCGGCACTCAATGTACCCTTTTCTTTTGCTTGATAAACTTGTTTTTACAGACGAGTTCGTAGGGCAACGTAAAAATAAAAGTGTAGAAGTAGAAATTACTTCTTCTCTACTGTTACTTTGCCTTTAATACACGCCAGTGTCTGTAGTGCGCCTCTACTGGGGAAATTTGGGAACTACAGGTAAAACTACACCAGCTTTTTTTCCTTTTAAATTCAGTTTTTTCAATATAATTAGGACCAGTGGCGATTTTAACCTCTTTTTGGGGGTGCTTAAGCACCTCTGCATTTTAACTCATCATCCCTGAAAATAAAGTAAAATAAATAAATAAATTTAATTGTCCAAATTTTGGACAATTTCGGCAGTCCAATTAAAAAGCCCAATGGGCCGGAGTTTACCCATGCCTGGTTTAAACCCAGCTCCAATGCTGCAAGTCTTGCTTCCCTTCCACTTTGTCTCTTGGTCGCATAAAACATCTACCTTCCTTCTCTGCATCATGTCAGCCAGCTCTCTACCTTTGTCTGTCATTGTCCCCACATTTAGAGTTGCAAACCTCAGTCCTACATTCTTGACTTTTCTCTTCTCCCTCAGTCTCCTGACACATGCTCCTCGTGGTCTTTGACTAACAGAGGCACAATTTCCGCCGGCACCCTGTTTGTCAATAGAACCGGTGGCGGTCATTGTAAATCCGGACCTCAACCAATCTGGTACGGTTTTGCTTTGATGAACTCACATTATAGTTTTTGCAATAAAGTGTTTCACATCAGATGCCCTTCCTGACACAACCCTCACCATTTACCCGGGCTTGGGACCAGCCCAAGAGATACACTGGCTTGTGCGCCCTAGTGGCTGGTTTAGTGAATATTCCCATACAAATACTTCCCATACTTTTTTGGATTTTTCTACCTGGATTATTGAGCATGCATCAGGATATTCCCATACAAAGATGAAATTTGTGCTCTGCATTTGAACCAGCACACATAGATACACCCAGTAGCTGCCTGGAAACCAGTTGGAGATTAGGTGTCTTGCTCAAGGAGACCACAATGTATGGGCATTGCAAGGAGTTGAACTTGTGACTTTCTGGTCCAAAGTTGACTGCCCTACCACTGCTCCACAGGTGCCCCAGCCAGATTTGATGTTAGGTTGGTGCAACAGCATTATTGCTTGCTGGAACAAAACATTCATGGCCAACAACATTTTTTTTTAATCAGATCAGCCTATGTTATAAAATTGCCGAAAGATGAGGACAACACCGTTACATGCAACATTTCATATTTAAACAAGCTCAGTTCAATAACTAACTTAAATTTAGAGCTTTGCTTATTAATAGGTTATTTAGTATTTTATTTGCAACCAATCATCACACTGTCAGGCACAAATTAGTACCAAGAAGTACCCATTATTAATTTTATGACCTCAATAAATGAATGTGATTGGTTGCAGTGAGCACAAACGATTAACCAGCCATGAAAAAGTTGTCAACACAAAATGTTTGCGTTCTTGCGCGAACGTCCGTGATCGTTTTATTTTGAAAGAGCAGCGCAGACTTCCTGTTCGTGCGCTAGCTAACACGCGCTAGCTCGACGCAGCAGCGCGGAGGATGAGCTGCTGCCTCCGCGCGCACAGAGGGACAACTCAGCGTAAACACTCACGGACAACGTGAAGAGAGGAGTGGAGGGAGAGGGCAACTTTTACTGAGAGGACACAGACACCGCTCGTTTCCTCTGGAGAGTTTATTTGTTTGTTCGGGAACAAAGGGGTGATTTTTGGACCATCATGCCCGCTGAGGTGAAACAGGTTAGTGCTGCTGCTCCTGTCGGGGCTCTGCTCCCCGGTTCTTCACTGACTCCTCTAGTCTTTGCCTCTTAATTGACTCGGAATGAGATGCGCTCCTCTTATTTATATCCGCAAGGCCAAGTTTTTGCGTTTCTGTTCGTCCTCATCCCTCAGTTAAATAGTGAACACGAGAAATGACGAGATTTAGGTTGATGGCGTGAAGCATAGGATGATCCATGCGTGATTAACACACACACTGGCCTCTTAAGTTGTTAATTCTTATAACACTGTTGTTGTTTTTCACTCCAAATGTCCACGGTGCTTGGTGATTCGTGAGTGTGAAGGCAGTGATGTGACTTCTGAGCGCCCTGACACGTTCACTGGCTCGCGCTGGTTGTGAGATTGACAAGCGGTGACGAGTTGAAACTTTTCCCTGATCGTTGACTGCAAGGCTCCGAATGAGCCCAGGCCACGATTTATTACCCAGGAACTGTTGTGGCGATTGTTAGAAAGACGTGTTACTTTCCTCTTTTGTGTTAAACTTGCACAGATACCGCAGGAATGTGTTTTTGCTAGCTATAGTGTGCGTGTGCGCGCGTGTGTCAGGGCATGGTGTGCACCCCTTGTTGGAAGCTTCTCTTGTGTTTTGAAGCACATCCACAGACATCTCGATGCTCTTTTGCTGCCAAGCTTGGCGACGCTGACGTGCACAAAAAAAGAACAGAGGATCTGAAAAGGATGAGAAAGGAAAACAAAACAAAAAAAAAGATTGAATAAGATCAACTTTGTGTGTTTTCGTCCGTCGGGGTGTAAGGAGTGGAATTATTGAGCCCCTGTGTGGTTGACAACAACAGTGCCAGCTCTCCACAATGACACTAGAACCGTCCACCCTGGGGCTGTGTAACCAAAAGAGCTGTGGTCATATAGAGAAGCAGATTTCTCCTCCCTCACCGTGTCTTTTCCCCCCCACACTTCCCGAGTTTTGCTAAAACTTTGAAGGCTTGACTCAAGTCGGTCAGATTAAAAGTGGGGCAGCGCATATAGTCTGTCACAATCCAGGCTCGAATCGGATAAGTGAGACCACAAGCACGTCAACAAGTTGGGAGTACGCCTTCCTTCAGCCGCACCCTGGAGTGGGTCAGGGAGGGTGACCCCTCGTGTCCATGACCCCTTCCCTGAGACCGAGATGGTTGGCGTGCTTTGTCCCAAGCCAGAACTGTGGCGTGACCTTTTCACCTTAGATGCACATTCTTCAGGCACCGTGTGTTCAAGCGCCCGCCTCTTCCAGAAATGCTTCGATGACACTGGTTTGTTGTTGCTTCCTCCGGTGAAGGCAGTCATGTGTTTACCTGATGTTTGTTCCTGTGCCTGCCTGCTAGCAATACATCACTCTTCACTATCTTTAATGAAGCATTCAAAAATTAATCATGGGACGTAAATCTTTAACTCATTTTCTTTTTTTTAAGCCAATTCGATGTAAGATGTCAGCCACAGGTATTGGTATACAACAGGTATTCATACCTTACAAAACACTAACATGGCTATTAACAACAAAGTCCATGCTCAATAATCCAGGTATACAATCCAACATTTTCCAGTCAGGTCATCTGGACAGTTTCTTTTTTTGTGCTGAAACATTTCACCTTGGATCCGGAAGGCTTCATCAGTCTCATCAGTCAGTTTTCAACCAGTTTGACAAGACTGTCAACAAGGAAGAGGGCCGGCAATGGAGGAGGGGGCGTTCCAAACAGACCATCTTATCACAAGCAGAACTGGTTTGTTCCACTTTGGAGTAAGCTGTTGGGGAAGAATCAGTTTTGTGTTGTGTGTTTCCTCGACTGATGAAGCCTTCTGGATCGAAGGCGAAACATTTCAGCACAAAAAAAGAAACTGTCCAGATGACCTGACTGAAAAATGTTAAAATGGTTATTATTTTACTTTGACAGATTTTGTTCCAAACTGCGATTGCGGCTGAGAATCTTTTACAAACCATACTCCGTGTGCTTTAGCAATAAATACAATAAAACAAAGCTTTAGCAAGAACTGCTGGTGTTAACCAAGTTTGTCTGTTAGCAAGATGTCTTTCGAACCACTGAAAGGGTTTTAGTGAAACTTTAAGAAAGTTGTGGATGGTTGATATTTTACTACTGATTAACTTTTGGAATCAGTCCAATTTAAGATGGCCACCACAGCTGATCTAAAAAAAAGCGACTACAGCTCAGTCTAGTTTACAGCTCTTGAGTTAAAGTTGATGTGGAGTTACACCTCAATCATTTCTATATGAGATAAGTCAGTTTCAGACTCTGACGTGGAAGACAGTGGGTGATATGCAGCATATCCTTCAACACTAGGCCTTTCTTTTTTTACTCTTGTGCTTTAAAAACTAAAAAGAATCGAGAGCTGAATGTGTGAATTATTTTTTCCAAGCTTACTTTCTCAGCAGTAATGGATTCCCTTAAGGTTTCTAGTGTTTTTGTTTTAATATCAGTTGTGCTAATCAGAACAGTTATAACAAGGGAAATGAGACAAACCCGCTCTGCCTTGACCTCTTCCTAATGCTGCAGTCGAGCTTAGATTAAATTAGTTTTTAGCCCTCTGAAGATTACTGGATAGCCCACAATTAGAGGGGGAGTCTGCACCAGACAGAGTTAAAAATAAAGTGGCCTTCATTTGAGAGCTGCACCGGCAGGGTAGGGCCCGAATCCTCCGAATTTAGTTGCAGAGACCGGTAGCGCATTTGGTTCATGAAAAATAGAAGAACAGATTTGCCATGAAGGAGAAAAGAAAACATTATGAATAATCCAGTAGTCGTCATCTTGCCAAGGCCTCGCAAACCCTGACTTTACTTTTTCTCTGCGAGAACACCCGTCTGAATAACAAAATAATTCATCTGTGATTCAGCCCCAGACTAAAGGAGGTCTTGTCTACAGGCGGCGAGTTCCTGCCAGATTCCTGACAGCAAGCAGGGGTTTCAGATGCAGCTATACTGAGCGCTCTCCCCCCTCCTTTCCAACGCTGTTTGATTTCTTACCGAAATTAAAAAGCTGTCAGACTTTTTTTTTTCTGCGGGGGTGTTTTTGTATGACACCTCAAAGGTCCTTGCTTGTCTTTTTCCATTCCTTTCCTTAGGCTCCCCCCTTGTGTGACTGCAGAAAACGATGCACAAATCAATATTTCAAGACATGTAGAGCCCGAGGAGTGCCGTTGTCTGGGGAGGTTAGGTCAGACAAGAATAATGCCAATGACCGGAAACATATCAGCATTTAACTGGGTTTATCAATGCACAGGGGGGGGGTGCACATGCATGACTGCTGTTGTGTTTGGAAGACGAGAGGTTTGATCATATGGTGCTGTGTACCCATTGAGTGGTTACAGCAGATGGCTGTCCTGTCACACAGCCTGTCCATAGCTTCCATGTTTTCCATACATTGTGTAGGAGTGAGAATCTTTAGACTCCCCACAAATCGATTTGATTACGATTTGGAGGACTTAAATGGATAAAAAATATAAACACCTATATGAATTCATCTCAGTGCATTCATAATCGCACTTCTAACAATTCAATTCAATTCAAAAATACTTTATTAATCCCAGAGGGAAATTATTTGTTGTTGTAACTCGTTATCCTCATTTCATTAAGAGATGTTATAGACGCTGATGGCTGTACGCAGGAAGGATCTCTTGTAAAGGTCCATCCCACAGTGGATCCTAAGAAACTGGCTGCAGATGCTGTCCGATCCGTCCACCCAGACTCGACTGGCTTCTCGATTCCTCCGGGCTGTAGGACCACCCGAATGCCGGGCAGAACTCCTGGCATTCAGGTGGTCCTACAGCCCGGAGCATAGAATCTCTGACCTAAACAACAAAACAAAATACTTTGTTGTACATTGCAGTAGAAAATATATTTTTATCTAAACAAGATTACGGAAATTAAATGACCACATGGAGTCAATATGCTGAGTACAGTGACAAAATGATGTGGCGTTGGATGTCTATCTTGCATCACATGTAAGAACTCATAAGGTTTTCACCACTTATTTGGTCCCATTGAGTGTGGGGACTGCTGTACAAGTATATCTGACTTAGTATCGTCATGTTCTGTTGTGGCTCTAAAGGATACAACATATGATGGTTTCTCATTGAGCTGCAACTTTTAGACAATAACTGACAACTTAAAATTCTGTGAAACTATGTAAGTTTTTAGTTGCACTGAGAATACTGACTGTTACAACCATGTGACCAGCTAGCCGTCTAGTTGTTTTACAAGGCCAGTATTTGAAAACAAGTCTATTTTCTTTTATATGTCTCAGAAAACTGTATTCTAAGTTGTACACAACAGTGTGTTCCCCACCTCCGCCCACATTATACCATACTGCAAATGTTTTGATACATTCTGGAGACTACCTCATGAATGCCGTTTGCCAACTGGTCGCCAACAGGCACAGCCCAATGAGACATTACTGTTAGAAGAGACATCAATAACTAGTTTTCCTTCTCTTCCAGGTAGAACAGTGTACACAGCTTCTATATGGTGTGGCTTTTCCGAACATATTTTTTTGTTTTTTAACATCATAGAAGCTGAAACACTGGCTTTCTATGCATAGAGTGCTGCTTGTGCATTGTGTAGTTGTTTTGTGCACGCCATGAGTTGCTGGGCTCTGCACTTTTGTACTTCAGAGATCTGCCTTTTGAAGGATATTACATGACATTAACATTCATTTTTGATGCATAAATCAATTCAGAATTGTTAATGTCTGCATTGTGATGCATTGAAAAATAGATTTTTAACCTCGACCCCTACCAAAGCGTGACTCTCACTAGGGGTGGGCGAGATGTTTCAAACATAATGTGATATTTAGAGCATTTTGACGATAACGATACATTTTGTGATATAACAAAAAAAAAAAGAAGAACAACAAAAACAGAAATCAGTTATAACAAAATTAACTTAACATGTTACTTTGCAGTATTATATAAAAAACAGTTAATTTTACTGCAATGACTTTATTTAGTAAAGTATT